CTGCTGAATGTTTGATCTTGCAGAGGGAGAAGAGCCTGCCGAAGGGCTGCTGACCATGTTGGCAGGGCGCCTGGTCTGGAGCGTGGTTGCTGTACCTAATATGTTCTGGAAGGACTGGAAAACAGAAGCAAAAGAATTGGGGGAAAACGGGTAGCTCTTCTCGCAGCCAGAACATACCGCCTTTTCCTTGTTTACAGATGAATGATTTACCTCCCGAGTTAGCCTGGAGAGCTGGTATGTAAGTTGCGCTCACCAGCCCGCGTGTATTAGAGTCCCTTGGTATCTGGGCAGGATGCCAGGGAGCATAGACTGTCCTTCCCCACCCAGGTTGCATCCCTCTCTGCTTGTATTCCACTGTAATTAATTAGTGAGGTAATAAATATGCCAAGGAGAGACTGATTAACTCCGAGATCCCTGGAGATAATTGGTCATTTGGGACCTTGATTGTGCTGGGTGAATAACCAGCGCATTCCCTCCTGCTCAGCTGGGTTCCTGGTGAGGCAGATGCTCTAGGCTGCTCCAGTTCAGCTGCAAGCTTTGCACTCTAACTACGAGGATTCTTCTGTTTTAACGTTTCTAAAATTTCCATGTGTTTTACAAAGCATTATAAATTCAGTGTTAATGTTTCTTGGGAACTTGCTAGGGACAGTTGGTAGCTAGCAGTCTCTGTCACAATTATGGAAATGTGTGTTGTATAGCTCTACTTTTTCTTTTTTTCCCAAATAGAAATTAGGAAGTTAGAATAAAGTAAGTTTTTTTTTTTTTTTTTTTTTTTTAAGAGAGATTTTTGCTATAGGGCATGTGTGCTTACAGAGAGCCAGAAAGTGAAAAATCATCCCCCCCAGGATCGATGGCCATGCCTCAGTCCTTTCTCCCCTGCTTTCTCGGGGTTTTGGCCACGCAGGCAAATGCACCTGGTGTGCTCCAAGCCTCTGGGTCCAGGACTTGAACTGTGATTGGCCATGTGGGAGTCCAGTGATGTAACCACTGTGCTACCTGCTGGTCCCAAAAGTAATAGTTTTGAACATTTTTTCCACTCACAAACATTTTTTTGGGATTGGAGAGGTTTTCACAATAGGGTGCGTGCGCTCGCCAGACAGACAGAGAGACAGAAAGCGAGAAATCAACCTCCAGGGAGGATGGTCACGCCGCAGTCCCTTCTCCTCCATTCTCCTCTCGGGGACTTGGGCACGCACGCACGCACGCCCGGCGTGAGTTTTAAGCCACCGGGTCCGGGACGCGAACCGTGGTCGACTACATGGGAGTCCAGCGACATAGCCATTACACTAACTGCTGGTTCCCCCACTCACAAACATTTTCATGTTTTATTTATTTTATTACTTTGAAAAAAATGTTTTTTAAGATTTTTATTTATTATATTTCATTGTACTTATTTGTTCATTTATTTTCATTTGACCAGAGAAAGACACACAGAGAGAAAGAAAGAGAGAAAGCAAGCCACCAGGTCTAGGACTTGAACCAGGTTGACCATGTGGGAATATCCAGTGTCTTAACCACCATGCCACCTGCTGACCCCGAAAAATAGTTTTTTTTTGTTTTTTTTTTTGGAGAGGTTTTCGCTATAGGGCGCATGCGCTCGCCAGACAGATAAGAGACAGAGAGAAAGAAAGCGAGAAATCACCCCCCAGGGTGGATGGTCACACCGCAATCCCTTCTCTTCCATTCTCCTCTCGGGATCTTGGGCACGCACACACACACGCCCGGCGTAAGTTTTAAGCCACCGGGTCCGGGATGCGAACCGTGGTCGACTATGTGGGAGTCCAGCGACATAGCCATTACGCTAACTGCTGGTTTCCCCGAGAAATAGGTTTTTAACAAGCTGTGTAATATTCTATTCTAAGGCTGTAGTGGATTGCTTAACTACTCTAGGGTACCATCTTTTTGTTTTGTTTTGTTTTAAATTTTGACCAGAGTGAGGGAGAGGGAGGGAAAGTGAGAAAGCAAGCGGCCAGTTCTGGGACTCGAACTATGGTCGGCCATGTGGGAGCCCAGTGCCCTTAACCAGCACGCCACCTGCCAGCCCTCTCCCCTTTTTTGCGGGGAGAACCATGTTTTTAGAGATAGGAATTAGAAGGTGGAATTGGAACCTGGCCAGAGCTGCCCGTGTCCGGGTAAGAGGAGGGCACGTGAGCGCTTAGAGGAGGTGCTGCAGGAGATGCTCCGTGCGGACACTGGAGCCGGCCAGCCTGTAGAGCTGCCGGGGCGTCTAGTCCTGCTGCCTGGTCAGTTTCCTTTAGTGGAAAACCCAGGTTCCATACAAATGACAGAAGAATTGGTGTCGGGCCAGCAGGTGTTCTGGTTAAGGTGCTGGACTCCCACATGCCTGTCCGTGGTTTGAGTCCTGGACCTGGTGACTTGAAAATCACATGCATGCGTGTGTGCCCAAAATCCCAAAAGGAGAATGGAGGAGAAGGGGTGGCAGCGTGGCCGTCCCCTCTGGGGGAGTGATTTCTCACTTGTCCTCTCATTGACTTTCTCTGGTGAGCACATGTACCCGATGGCAAAAACCTTAAAACAGAAAAAAAAGAATTGGTATTGGACAGTGTTGTCTTTTATTTATTTATTTATTTATTTGTTTATAGTAAAGGGATTTTTAGTATAGGGTGCTTGTGCTCACTGGAGAGACAGAGGCAGAAAGCAAGAAATCATCTGGGGGGGGTCACACCGCAGTCCCTTCTCCATTTTCCTCTTGGTATTTGGGGCACACACACTCCTGGCGTGAGTTTCAAGCCGCCGGGTCCGGGACTAACTGTGTTCGAGCGTGTGTGTGTGTGTGTGTGTGTGTGTGTGGGGGTCCAGCGCCTTCACTACGCCACCTGCTGGCTCCTCGTGTTGCTATTTTGAGATGAGGTTGTGCAAGCCTTCGACTTGGGAGTAGTCTCAAGTGAGCATCACCTGACTCAAATTACCAAAAGCATCAATCTCATTATTTGATGGTAAAAATATGAACATGAATTATATCCACAACTGAAAAAACTGCTCATGGAAATGTAAAGCTTAAGGTGAGGTAATTTACTTATACCAAGTTAACACTTTTTTTGGGAGATGTTTTTTGCTATAGAGTGTGTGTGCTCACCAGAAAAACAGAGAGAGACAGAAAGTGAGAAATCACCCCCCGGGAGGATGGCCATGCCGCAATCCCTTTTCCCCCATTCTCCTCTTGGGATCTTGGGCACACACACACATGCGCCTGGCATGAGTTTAAGCCACCGGACTTGGGACTTGAACCGTGGTCGACTACATGGGAGTCCAACCATGTAACCGTTACGCCATCCACTAGTCCCTGCAAGTTAGCTTTTGTTCTTTGTCCTAAACCTGTCCTTGTTAGAGGAAAAACAGGATCTAGCCCTGCTTTTGTCATTTCAGTTACTAATGTGTATTTTATAACGGAGATTTGAAAGTGGCTAGAATGAAGAGTGCAGTGTGTCTGTAGAGAGGACCTAGTGGGTGTCTGAGTTTGGTCTGTGCGAGCTGCAGGTGTCGGAGCAGCTTCTGAGCCAGCTGTTGTGCTGCTGATACAGCTCTGCACAGGGCAGTCTGGGACTGACTTCCTTTCGGGAGTAGAGGTGGGGGCAATGAGGAGAAGCAGGTTAACTTTGTTCTTTATGTGTTTATTTTTTTGAGAGTGTTTTGCTATATGCGGAGAGACAGAGATGGAGAGAGGGAGGGAAATCACCCCCCAGAGAAGATGGCCATGCCACAATTCCTTCTCTCCCATTCTCCTGGAGATTTCACACACCTGGCATGAGTTGTTTTTTTTTTTTTTTGAGGGGGGGAGGTTTTCGCTATAGGGCACATGCTCTTGCCAGACAGCCAGAGAGAGACATAGAGACAGAAAGCGAGAAATCACCCTCCAGAGGGGGTGGTCACGCTGCAATCCCTTCTCCTCCATTCTCCTCTCGGGATCTTGGGCATGCACGCACACGTGCCTGGCGTGAGTTTTAAGCCACCGGGTCTGGGACGCGAACCATGGTCGACTACATGGGAGTCCAGCG